TTTTTTTTTTTACCCATACATGGAAGCCATTAGCCCCGGTGGCTGCTGGGGGATTGGCTGTTTTATTCCCCTCGTGTTAATCAGGATGCCAGCTGGGAGTGTCACATGTAATTTATCCTGAAAACCGCAGTAACTCCGCAGAGACGGTCCGCGTGGTCATAATGACATAATATTGGACTGGGGGAGAGTTTCAGGGTGACGGATGATGTGGATTTTCCTTCCCCATACCTATTCCTCTTTTCCTCCATACGCTCTGAAACTAGACCTGTGTGACTTTCAAATGGCTGCTTTGCATCATGGCCTCCTTCACTTAAGAGAGGTCAAGGCTTTTTTCTGTTGTTCTTATTTCACCCCTTCTCAAATTTATGCTGATTATGTGACCCACTTAATAAAGACTGTGCATTTAAGCAATGTTTGGGACTTCTAATCAAGCCACTTCTCTGCCCTTATGACGATTGTTTGTTTTCAGATGTGCATGATCTGTAACGTCACAGGTCTGTGCCTCTCAGAGCTCATCGCCCAGACAGATACTTGCTTTATGTACCTGACAGGGAAAGCGATATTCCAGATAAAACCCGAGCTGCACCCGCTCAACTCCTCTCTCTTCCAGAACTCGTATATTTCCCCAGCTTCTTGGCCTCCGTTGTCGTCAAGGCAATTTAGTTAGAGGGAGAAAAATTGCAAAATCAGCAACATATTTCCACATGAAGGTAAAATTGGAAGTGTTGAAAAGGCTCGCCTGCAACTCCTCAGCTATGAAAATACTGTTTAACCGCTGGCCCCCTCCCGGTTCATTTAGACTCCATCATTCTGCTACTAGTTCATCAGCGAAGAACTAAATGATCTTGGCTACTTTTGGAGAAATGCACAAGTTCTGGCTTGTGCTCCTATAAGAATGAGCTGGTATTGCACTATAAGCTCAGCTTATAGTGGTTTTTCACAGATGTCCACTGTGTAACTCAGTGCTCTAGTAGTTTTGGCTCCTTTGTTGGTCCTGCCATGGTAAGAAGGCATGATCAAAAAAATCTAGCTAGATAGCTATGTACATAGATAGCTACATGGATAGCTATGTCGATAGCTATTTGTGTGTATTGCTATCTTTGTAGTTGGTTATCTAGATAGTAGTTAGATATCCAGCTAGGTAAAGTTTTCGCTACCTATCTAGCGAGATAGCTAGACAGCTACCTATTTAGCTAGCTAGCAGTAATTACAGTATTCGCAAGCTAATATTTTCGCTAGCTATCTAATTAGTATCTAACTAAATGCGAAAACTAGCTAGATTTTTTTCTGTTGGATCTAAATCCATGGACAATTCATAGATTTTTCTTTTCTTTTTTTTGACAAGCACATCTAAAATATTTGAAAGTAAGCTGGAATATTTGACATGCTAATGGCTGGTGTTTGCATAGCAGCCAATCCAGGAGCTGTATTAATTGTCTTTGGTGTTGATTGGCTGAAGCCCCAAGAGCAGAAATAAGGAAAGCTGTGGATGTTATCTTCTGCAGTGTGCTAAGACAGTGTGTGTGTTAATGTTTCTACTGAGGGGTCACAAAAGTCTAAATCTAGGGTTTTGGGATCAGCATAAATTTGTAATAAAAAAAAAGACTATTATTAAAATTTTCTCACCATAAAGGCTCAAATAATTAAAATAGTTTCCCCTCTCTTTATTGGTCCTTCTCACTGAACACCCACCTTCATATTTCTCTGACACCAAACAAGAAACCCGTTCTGCTCAGAACATGCATCAAGAAAAAGCTGGAAGAACTCCAAACCTTGGGTTTCGAATGATGTAATTTTGTTTGTGCACCTCTGGGAAAGAGAACACATTCTTCTGCTCTGGTGGACCATCTGTAAAGTACTCCAGTGGTTGTTAATTGTTGGTCTTTTTGAACGTTTTTATGTTTGTATTTATCATCTGGAAGGTGACGTTGACCTTCGAGTGTGTAACAGAAACCTAGCACTGCAGGGAACCAGGGAAGATGGTCAGAGTTACTCATAAGGCAGATGGCTGTTGATGCAAAGAACTAGTTGAAGAGGCTGCAAACGTCTTGAAGCTGGTTGAATGGCTTAGGTCAGAGGTCAACAACCTTCACAATGCAAATAGACATTTTTACCCTCAGTCTCATTAAGTAACATTTTACTAGAGAAACAAAACTGGCATGATCTTTCAGAAATGGTTGCTCATCAGCTTCATTAGTTTTAACGGTTAAATAATTCTACAAGTGAATGATTCTCGATTGATTTTTACCCAGAAAGCACATGGGCAAAACCCATGAGTGAAACGGTCACTGGGACTAACTGGTATATTCCATTGAGGGAATGTAACTTTAACATATTAATTTCTCATATGTTAACATAAAGGCTCGTTTTGAAGTATAAGTTGCTTCTTACAGGCATCGCTTCGAAGAACTCGACCTGGAATGCGGCGTTCATAACAGACACGTGTTCATCTGCTCTACCGCCAGCAAACAACCGTACTAATTAAATGACATAAAAGTCAAGCAGTTCCCTAAAAGTCCAACAGATGGCAGCAATGCGCCATGCAAAACAAAACAACCACAGTTTACAGGACACACTTCCTGCTAAAGAGCCCCCTGGTGGTTGAAGAAAAATCCATATATAAACCGGAAAATACAATAAATGAAAAAAAATCTGAATGCTCTCTGGTATTGTTCAGGGGGCCGGACCAAATGTGGAGGCGGGCCGGATCTGGCCCACGGGCCATAGTTTGGGGACCCCTGGACTAAACCAACCTGTTGCTCTTTGGATTTTACACAACGGCTCTTAAAAACTTTGGCTGAAATGATTAAGAGCTTTTACATATAGATATAATAACAAATGCACATTCTAGCAGTTTTTAATGGTATCATTTAACTTTTTTTTTGTAACAGAATGAAACTAAGAGCACCCGGAATATATATTTTTACATTATTTTCCACAGATTTTAACATGGAAGGAAATTTATGGATTGAACACCTCTGAGCTAAACGGTCACATTTGGTCCCAGAAACACCAGGAACACACCCTGGTGTAGATCATATCCTTTCCATATGTTGGATAAATCCATATGGATCTGGAGCGAAACTTGGTACCTGATGTTCAAAACACGTTCTTCATCCTATCTGACTGCTTGAGTCATTTTGCAAAGACATGTGCTCAAAAAAGGTATTTGTGAACTGGTTAAGATCTTGTTGTGAGAAAGGTTGTTGGGTTTTTTTTTCTTCTTTTTCTTCATAAACTCACACAAATTGCACATGAACGTTGTAAACACATCCAACCCACAGGGGGTCAGAGGAGTGCAAAGCTGAAGCCTGTGTCAGCCAATCAGATTGTCTCAGTTCAACGACTTCCTGTTAGCAATCAAACATGGCAGCAGGAAGTTCATTTGTGTGAATAGATAGACTTATAGGCTGAGCTACTTTAAAACTGCTTATTAGAATATAAAGTCAATAAGATACAAGGGTAAACAATTATGTGAATATGTTGGTGCATTATTTATCGCAGACTGTAATGTGTGAGATCCTAAATCTCTGTTTTCTTGTGTTTTCTCAAATCTCCACTTTGATGAATTATTAGTGAATTTAACAGAGTTTTCATGTGGATGAAAGGCCCAAATCCATAAAAATGTATTTGTTTTGTCGAATATTCAGCCACGTGTGGGCTTGGCCTAAAACACATTCAAACACAAAACTGGTTGACTCAGTTTTTTTTTTTTTAAACTGTGAACTCTTTTTGTGTCAGCCTGTCACACAAAGTACCATAAAAGTGCAGCAACTTGTGATTGTAATAAAGAACGGGTCAGGGGGTGCAAGTACTTTTGCAAGGTGTTGTAATTTATGCTTTTTGTACAGTACCCTGTGATACATAAACCAAAAATACTGCAGATTATTCCCACTGCTCATACGCAAACCAGGCTCCATGAGTCACCAACATGCGTGCACATAAAAACAGCACACCCACACTCACAGCGAGCGCACAGATCGGACATGAATCTCCCCTCCACGGGCTGGAGGAGTTGGGTTACTCATGAGCACACAAACATGTGCTGGCAGCGATCCAAGTCAGTGCCTGTAATTACAAATGTTAGAGACAAAATATAAAGGGACGAGTCCCCGGCAACGTCCCGCGCAGAGATTAGCGTCCTTGTACAGAATTATCACCCCTTGGCAGCTGCCAAAAAAACGAGTGCAGCCTTTTAATTGGCAGGGGGGGGGTCCTCCTTTGGTCTGCTGGAGGATGGTGTTAATGTCTCGTTTTGTCCTCCATCACGCTCTTTTTTTGTTTGTTTGTTTTTTGTGGTTGTTGTTGTCTTCTGCAGCCTGAAATTCAGATGGATGACTAACCAGCTCTGCTGTTTCTCATGACGCTCCACCTCCACATGGCTGCGTTGGCTCTCCGCGCACGAGATCGGCGTGTACGTTAACGCCGCGCAGGCCCCCACGTGGTCCGCAATGTGCAAACCGGGTCATGGTGTGCTGTATATGCAGTGAGGCGGTTATTAAGCTCACAAGTACACGCAGATGCTCCGCTTCGCCCACGCACATGACACCGCGGGCTTTCAGCAAACCGAGCGTGCCAGTTACGCGTGCGCGTCTATCCAGCGAGTGGGTGATTCTGGGCAAGGCCGCGGCCGGGGCCGGCGTGTCGGTGTCGGGTGAGCATACGGCGCCGACAGTGGCGCACGGGGGCCAGCGGCGTGTTGCGTGTTTGGCTAATGAGGTTCCACGGCCGGGCCAAGCTGTGGGGCGAGCTTATTAGTAAACAGGCCACGAAGAAGACGAAGACCCTGCAGCCCCTCCACTCCTGCCCAGAGGCTCTCTAACACATTGTTGTGCCGATCAGATTTCTGCTCATCCTTCTTGGTTTGTTTAGCATCTCTTTTTTTGCACTGCGAGCTCTCATTTGATTTTTCTCTCTCCCTCTTGCAGGTTGTGGGATGGAGTTCCAGCCTCTGGCGCTAATATTTTACCAACAAGCGATGAAGTCAAAGGCAGCATTGTAAGTACCGTTATGGCGCTATAAATTTGATTCACTGTATAGTTTGGATTAGAGATGCACCATTCAGGCACTTCCTGGCCAATTGTTTAGTTGTATGTTATGTGTCGCATCCACATTTCCCCCCCATGGCCTCTAACACAAAACAGGAAATGTTTGGGATTCAGCACGAAATCAAAGAAATTCATCTGCATTACAGCGTCAAAGCATTTACCTGATCTTATCCTGGATTCTGGTGTATTGAGAAACATGTTACCCTTGTCTCGGCGTGAGGAAAATTTAGTAGAACCTTAAGTCTACATCTTTTGCTGCAGTGCTTCTCTGAATAGAGCCTATGTATTGGGATAAAAGGCGTGGAGTTCAACTGTGTTGCAGTGGGGAATGTTACTTTTGCCTTGTTTTCACAGCATTTTTTTTTCACATATATATATTTAAGGATCAGTAGACCATCTGGGAATGAAATCTCAATAATTTACAAGAACCCCTAAAGGGACAGAAAGCTATTAGCCTAGTTAATCAGAAAGTAGGTCATGCTGACAGTTTCAATTTTAGTTTTAAGCATCTGGCATGCCAAGGTGAGTGCAGCATCTGCATAAGTGTTGCGTGAGTTTAAGGGTGCATTCACACCAGCCCTGTTTAGTTCGCTTTAATTAAAGTCTGGGTTGTTTGCATGGAAAGTCCGGTTTGTGAACACTTATGGGAAAGCCGAGACCGCTCCAAAAGTAGGGAATGGACTGTGACGCAAGGAGGAAGTTGTGCTCATGTCTTCTTCTGAGGTCTTTGTGTCGTTTCCTTCAGTGAGTTTTGCTGCAGCGCCACCACAGGCGAGGGGTCTGAACAGGTTTCTTCAAAGGATTTGGTTCATGTGAAGCAGGAAAGCGAACCGCACCAGGCAACAACAGTTGTTGCCATTTTGATCCCCAATCAAACAAAGTCTAAAATCAAACCCAATCGATTATCAGGTGTGAAAATATTTAAGGTAACATGATTTGACTGCTGATATTTGAGTTGCAGCTGCTTCCCATCTCTGGTTGACTGATTGGTGCACCTCTAGTCAGGACAAATTGAAATTTATCAAAATGTCTCCCTCTTGTTTTGTCTCGCGTTTAATTTATTCAGATAATGTCAGCGATACGATTTTGTCCATCTTTCATTTGTTATGCACACGGCGTCTCACGGCTTTGTTTAATCTTACTTCCTTTCCCTTTGTGCGCTTGTATTAGATTAAAATCATAATGTCTGCGGCTTTATTCCATTTTAAAAAACCCGAGCAGGTCCCAGTGGCTTATTAGTGGAGTACATTAAGAAACACAAACAAACATAATCTTCACGGTAAAACGCTTTCAGGCTAATCTTTACTCTCCGCCAGGCGTACAGTGGAAGTCCTCTCTCTCTGTGCCCGGGCCTGGATCTGTGAGAAAATGGCTTCCACTCTTGTGCCTTCCAGCACTCGGCTCCCCTAACCGCCATTTTGTGCGATTGCTGCCAAAGTAGTCAGGTAGTTGGACGAGAGGGACGGAGAGGAGCGGAGGAAAAGAGGCTGCAACTGGACGCCAGGTTGAGGAGCGAATTAAAATAAACAGAGAGGTGTCGCAGGAAGCGTTAATCGTCTCTCTTTTTCCTTTTCTTTTTTGTTTGTTTCTTACGGAGAGTTGTTTCACTTCTGTTCTGGCTGACTAGACGGCAAAAAGCAACTCTTTTTGTCCAAAAAGCTGGCCTCCGTCAGCTGTTCTTTATCACATGAGCCAAAGCTGCTTCGCGCCGCCCCTCCGCCGTGCATTATTTGCCCGCGTTCTCCTTCGACTTGTTTGCTCGAGGTTCTCTAATTAAACACGTGCTGCCGGTCCTTCTACCTGTTTTCAGCCTGAGCAGCCGCCGCTGTTGCTCTGGCTGCATCATATGAACTCGGTAACCCTCCCGACCCCGGCCCCGCCTCGCAACCTCTAACTACATCAACTGTCTGGAATCCTGTATGCGCCAGGCATTTGATTACATGTGCAGATGTTATGAAGATCCTCCTCTCATCTGACCCTTAAGACCACAGATACCAGATATCTAGACATGTCTGATGAGGCTTTTTTTAAACTTCTCTTTGCTCATTTCACCTGATAAAAGCAAATGAATTAGTACAATTAGATAAAGTCTTTATTGTTTTGCTGATTTGAACTCTCGTGTTCCCATAAATCTGAATCAGTGTAATTCAGATTTACACCAGCTGACCAGATCTCCTTTTGCCTTTAGTTGATTGCTTTGTTTTCACTTTTTACACAATTTAGAGCAAACATTGGACGTTGAAACTTTTACCCATTTTCCTTTGCAGAGCAGCTTGAGCTCACTCAGATCGGATGGAGGTCGATTGATGGACATCAATTTTTAAAGTATTGTTTCATATTCCTGACCTGATTTCAATCCAGTCTAATTTGAAGCTTCCCAGCAAAAAATAATACAAAAACATTTCTCAAAACCATGATGCTTCCTATACAATTTCTCAGTGATTTTTTTTTTCCACAAATACAGTTTTCATGTATGCCAAAAGTATTGGTTTAGTCCCGTCTAAATAGAGCATCTTTTTCCATGTTATAACAGCAGAATGTCTTCACATGGCTTTCTTTTACATTAAGAAACATTTATAAAACACAAAATCTTACCAAGTGTTTTTTCTTCTAATAGTTTTTGGTAAAAATATATTAGGTTACACATTGAAATAAGACAAGTAACTTTTCAGCAGCTCATAGGAACTTGTTTTAAGTGAATAATTCTTAAAAATAGATTTTTTAAAAAAAGTACTAGCTCCAATTTCCACTGGCAGAATTTTAACTTACAACATGGGGGAAAATGTGGAAAAAAATCTGCCTGTTAATTGATTTCATGTAATTATTGACTTTAAAATAAACCCTTCAACCTCGCTCAAAATGTTGATTTTCCTCTATTTCAATTTATTTGCACTAGAAACTACACAAAGCTAGACTCTTCTTTACAAACTAGGCGATCAAAAGGCAACTGGTGGATTTTATTTCAGGACATCGGAGTAAAATAGACTGAATGTATGCTGCACCTTTTGAGATTTGCTTTTTTTTTTTGCACCGTTCTGTGCCTGTCGCATTAAAATCCCAACCAGTCACGCCGAAGTTTGCTGCTGCAACACGGCAAAGTTCACGGGGTGTGAATGCGTTTGCGAGGCTCGAAGTTATGCCATATGTATAAATACGTCCGCACTGACTCAAATTTAGACTCTAATTTAGAGTCTAGCTGCAGAACATAGCAGAAATCCCCCCTCCTCATTCCTCCTTGTCAGTAATAGGCAGCCTATTTAGGCCTGTCACAGACGAGCTCTCATTGCGACAGGCAGCCAGTCAGTCAGGAGCTCCGTTAACAGTGCAGCATGCACTCTGTCCCCTTTGGCTGCTCCCTCCTTAATCTGCCCATGTGTTTGCATATGGGACAGAGCGGCGTCCATATTGTGTTTGCGGAATGAATTATTAAATGCCGTTGCATAAGCATGGCCGGTTTCTGGGGCATATCGCTCCAGCATCTACCCAGAGACTAAAGCATGAATACATTCAGACAGCCTAGACCTCTTGGAAGTGATACGGCGGAGCTGGCCGGCCTGCGTTTGTTTATGGTTATATAGAGCAGATGGCCGTGCAACATGGTCGCATATCACACGCTGACTGCGGTGCGAGCGCCGCGGCGCGCTCAAAGCGCTTTTAGGCTAAAACGTGGCCTCTACTTGAAGAGGGGGAGATTCGAAGCCACAGAAACGCATCGCAGTTTGTTTGTTTTTTTCTCCTCGATTCCGCGTCTCTTTATCGGAGAACTTTACTGTACGTTTGCTTTCATTCTGGCAGCTGTCGCAAAAAACTGCACATCCGCTAATAACCACTGCCAAATCCGGGTTTTCGGTTCTAACTGCGGCTAACTGGGCTTTATTTACGGCCGCAGCTTTCAGCTAGAACTGCTGACTTAACTCCGCTGTTGCCTGGAAGAAACAACCTCTCAAAGGTTACGGGTCTCTCCCTCCCATCTGTAAGTCGAAGTTCAAATCCATGTGTCCCGCTCTCTAAATATAGCTGGCAGCAGATGCAGCCTGATGAGGCGCTGATTAAGGTGAAGGGAGAGCGATGCCTGTTGACTGGGTGAAGCAAAAGGAATGTAGACCTGTGGTAACGGCCGGAGACCCAACAGGCGGATTTCACCACGAGGCTCACCAACATCAGTGCTGAAATATGCAAAAGAAATTGAGATGATTGCTGACATGACGACTATGGATGTTAAAAAATTTATAAATGTGGAGGAAAAGAGATACCTGGTTTTGTTTGTTCATCAAAAGACTGACATATTTTGGTCAAAACTTGGACAAAAAGCATCTGTGAGCAGCAGTTTCAGTTTTCTCACAGGCCCTGGCTTTGGTTTAGATCCGGGCTTTGGCTAGGCCATTTCAACACATTAGCAGGCTTTGATTCCAAACCATTCCATTCAAGCTTGGCTGTATGTTCTTGGTTGTTGTCTTCCAAGAAGGTGAGCCTCCACCTCAGTCAGGTATTTTGCATCCTGTGGCAGGTTTTCCTGCCCTAGCAAAAGAAATCCCTTCCCCCTACTCGGTTTTACATTTACTTCCAGGGTCCTGTGTGGTTTTAATGTGTTTTCACACCTCATGGTCCGGTAGACTCCGGTTGATTGGGGACCAAAGTTTCAACATTTGTTCCATTTTCAGCTGCTGCGAAACAAACTCTTTGAAAAACCTGTTTACCGTGTCGCCTGTGATGGCGCTGCACTAAGAACTACTAAAGGAAACATAAAAACTTCAGAAGAAGACATGAGCTAAGTTTATTTTCAAACAAGTGAGAATGCTTTTCAACAAAAATGGAGTAGAGTCAGATTTTAGTGGTTACAGGAATTCACTATTGTCTTTGGTAAAACATCATCAGCCATTTTTTCCTCTAGCGCTACATTTGCTTGTTTGTTTTGGTTGTTTTTACCCAGAATTCCCTTTATGATGGTCC